ATCCCTGCACTTTGAAGATGACATCTTTAAACCACTGCATTAAGTATGATTATGAAAACCAGTTTTACGTGCATACAGCTGCTCATTTAGTCACACACAATGACCGAGAAAAATAAAGCAATCAATGCTTTACCAATAGTAATTAACGTTTTGATAAAAAAATAAACCTGTAACCCTGAGAACTAAATGTTGCATCTCATACTTTAAAACCTGCTCGTTCATCACTGCCTAAATCGATTTCATTAGGCTAAGAATGAGTCACATATTAGTTCATTTAAAGCAGCACCTTGGGCTAAGCAATGCCACAATGATACTGTTACCTAACCTGTCTACTGAAGGGAACGTACCGACAGGGATTGGTTCCATACCCACATAAACAAAAACACGTGATATTAGACGGTTGACATGCAAACTGGGTTTTGTTTACTTTCTGTCTGACCTAGTTGTCTGGACATCCAACCCTGAGGCTCAGAACAGCCCAAATGTATTTTATTATTATGCGTCTTACTGCCCAACCTTAAAACCAGACCTTCTGACGGGAGACAAACAGGAAAAAGAAAGCAGACGTGTGTTTGCAAGTGTGAAACATGCCGGAAAAAAATGTTACAAAGCAGACAGAATAAAACATCTGATTTCTCTTTCAGAACAAAAGCAAACTAATGATGTGTGACACAGAAGGCGACCCTACAGAGATTATGAAAACCCAACCAAAACACAGGTGCACGGGCCTGCAGGCTGTTGGAATGCGGCCATCAACTTGCAATCTGAGCAGAGCAGACAATGAACAAATGGGCAGATTTCCTCTTTCAGCAGCAAGGACAAAGAAAGGATGTAGAGTTTAAAGATTCCAGAGAACAACAAAAAAAAATAGTTACCTATGTAATGAACAACACATGTTTGGCCTTTCTTTGGAAATGTTCGCCCTGTTAAAAGAAGAAGAGAAATGTTAGGGTGAGCAAACACTGATTCTGAGAGGCTAATACAGCAATCATCCTAAAAGTGCTCATCTACTCTTTTTCTTCATAATTTATTACCTCTACATCAACATGTCATGGTGGGTTTTTCTATTTGATTTGTTGTTTGGATGAAAATCTTTATTTTATTCAAACTACAAAAAAGTACTACATTAAACATACTTTCACACAAGCATTTCTTTCCCTTTTTTTTGGTACATGAATTGCATTTTGATTGTTTCTTTGTGTCTTTCGCTATTTTTCACATGTTTTTAAACCTAACTTCAACAAAATGGGTTTATTGATAATCTGTAGCAAAGAGTTTGAGCTTCATGTTTGATCTTTACACAGACTGCAGGGAATTTAGTCAACGACGAATGTTTTGTTAAAAAGGGCTAGTCCAGCTTAAGCCCCTGTCACACCTTGCCGATTTAGACAGACCCAGATTCTCCTTAAACTCTGGAATACGCTGAACTTTTTATGTATATTTTTCTATTTTCGGCGTATACATAGCGTATTCATAACAAGTCCAGAGCTTTGTCCAATGACAGTCTGACTTATGCATAATGCACGGCAGCGTAATGCCCATGAAATGTCACAAGCCAGTGTCATGAGGGGGGCAGCATTGCGCCCGAAGGCGCCCTGCCTGCACAAAAAGGTATCTTTGATCGTGGTATTAACCTAGCTAATGTTTACCACCCGCCACAAAAAAAAAAATTAAATAAATAAAAAGAAAGAAAAATGGTTCGCAGTCGCAGCAGATTCAGCATTATGTCTTCTAGGACATTTCATGGGCATAGGCATTGGCGTGAACGCATGAAGAATCTATCACACACACCTTCTCGCTCACCCTATGATGGGGATGAAGTCTGAGAACTAACGCCTTCCTCCTTTGAATCCCCCTTCTATACCAAAACACTGCCAATACGCCATTATACAGTAGCTGGAAGTTTGGAACACGTCAAACACTTCGATATGTATTGGAGATAAGTCACGCACAACTTACTCATAGGATTTGGATTAGATAAAACCACAACTTATGATGACCTTACATATAACGTAAGTCAACGATCAGATAACTCACCTATAATTTATGTCCCACGTGTGAGTATACGCTAGCATATGTCGGGAAATTTTGAGCATGCCCAAAATTTCTCGGTGTACTCACATGTCGACGTGTGCCAGCGTGTTTCAGGGTGCTTTTGCATGCTTCACCATCTCATAACTTATACAAAACCTACCCATACCTTATCCACCATATGCCAGTGTTTTTGCCAGATTTTTCGTACGTCAGGCATACGCTGGTCTAAATAGTCACGGTGTGACAGGGGCATAAAAGTAACTAAATTTCACAGACAGCGCATAAATCCGTTAGCAAAGATCAGATTTGACCTATCTTAATTTTATTTCATATTCAAACTAAAAACCACCACCATTTTTTTTTTTTTCAAACAGCATTTCACCCCATTTTTTCCATGCATTTCATCTTCTATACTCCAACCTACTAGCTCTCTAAAACAAGTTCCAGAACATTATTGCTCCATTCAAATGTAGTGCTCGAAAACAATGTATTGGAAGGTCAGACCTTAAAAATCATCAAGAAAAACCCAGAGTTTAATGTTGGGCATTAAGGTACAGGTGTCCTCGACAAAAAAAATAAAATGTAAATAAAAATCTAATTCCCTGCATTAAAGCTTAGATATTTCTATGGGGTAAGATAACTGCCAATAAAAACACATTAAAGGTAAAGTGGAGGATTTTCGCAAATTTTTGAAAATACCCGCCCTCTACACTTAAAAAAAAATGCACATACACAACCCTGTACCTGCTCCAGATATGGAACGCCTACTAAACTTATGCAAGATCGTGCACAAGCCCATTTCTCCTTGTGCACGCTCTGTTCAAGGCACAAACAGCAACATTTAAACAGAACGTGCACGAGGGGAAATGGACTTGTGCATGCAAGAGCGTGCACAAGTCCATTTCTCCTTGTGCACGCTCAGTTTAAAAGTTGCTGTTTGCATCCCTCATGCAATGTTACTTTCCAAAAAAGAGGAAGAGAACAGGACGGCCTTACGTAAACATATCACCAGAATGATTGCCGTTTAGGAAAACCAATTATTTAGATGATCCACCTGGAAAAAGAACATCCTCCACTATTCCTTTAATTTGTAAATTGATGTCTAATGTAAATAAATGTAGGATCTGTGCTTGTTCCATGTTACCAACTAATAGATACACTGTACATCAGGTCTTCATCTGAGAGAAACTAGTTTAGAAATAATGAATAAAAGATAGGAAGTTACAACTTTGCGATGACAAAAGCACAAAAGCACGACTCTTCGGGCACAAATTCAAAATTTACGAATCTGAATCACTTATGCAAAGGTACTGCTCAAATGTACGAGTATGAGTCACAAATATACCTGTACATATTTTTAGATTTGTACCAATAAATTTGCAATTCTTATTTGTCGGTTTGTGTTTTACGCTTCTATTTTTGCAAAGTTTTAACTTGTACTCATAACTTCTAAGCTTGTAGTTTCACAGATGAAGACCTGATTTCAGATTCATCTATGGATTAACAACAAGAACCAAATACAAATCCTACATTTAATTAGATGATCTATGCGTTTTTATTGACATTTTCCTTCCCCCAGAGATTCCCTTCAGTCAGATCTGTCATTCTTATATTAACCTGGATGGATTTTACTTTAATTACTTATAACTTAAGCCATTTATTTTGGAAAATCTCAATCTTTTTTGACAGTTACGATAGAAATCCAGGTTCTACTCCAGCATAGTCCTTCAAATACTCGAAATGATAACATAATAAGTATATCTCCCTGCTGTGATGTGTTCAGGTTCCTCATAATAACACTGATAATTAATAGAGGGTTATTATTTCAGATTTGTTGGGCTACTAGCATGTGTGGTAGCAAGTATGGAGGGTTCTGGAAAGATGCCATGCAGGGTTTCAGTGAGGGTGAGCCCCTTAAAGATTGAGCTTCATCACAGCGATTCAATTATTCACCAAACAATATTAACTGCCAAAGCAGTTTGCAAACACGGTACTTCTGAAACCACAGGATTATTTATGAACTTTGCGACATTCCAGGGATCTAGAACCAGCAGCAGCGGTACCAGCGCCCGCTCCCCAGCCCGTATTAATGGCAACCCAGGCGGCTGAATGTACTTACCATCACCGGGAGATATGGTCTCGACTTCTACGCCCATGGCTGTGCTACTTCGGAAGCTAACTATGTAGCATAAAGCCTAAAAGCCCCTTTACTCGGCCGGTTCTGCGCTCTTCAGCGGCTACCAGTCGGGTTTAATAGATTGAAATCATGTATTGAACGGAGCCGCAGCTTCCAGCAGCCCAGAGAGCCCCGCTATTCTGTGGCGAGGCGACGAAACTGCGCCTCACAGAGGAGACATGTTAGTTCTTAATGTACAATTAGCCCTTTTCACGACTAAATGCAGTTTTGGTGGGAATAAATATGTAATTCGTTTTTTTCTTCCAACAATTAAGGAAACGGTTGTTGTTACAAATAGAGGTAAAAAAAAAACGAGATTCATGTTTAGCGAACTACATATCCCATGATGCACCTGCCACAGTACGGTTAGTTTTGTTTCTGAGTCGCACAGAGCAACGTTGGGGGCACATTTCAACTAAATAAAATACATTTCATTTGTAATTGTTGTTTTTTTTTCTTCAGTTTTTCGTCCAAGGCGGTTGTTGTTAGAAGCAGAGGTAAAAAAAAAAAAGATATTCTTGTTTAGCCACTACATATCCCATGATGCACCTGTGCCACAGTACGGTTAGTTTTGTTTTTGAGTCGCACTGAGCAACATTGGGGTTTACATTTCAACTAAATAAAATACATTTTATTTTTAGTTGTTCATTTTTCAGGTTTTCGTCCAAAGTGGTTATTGTTAGAAGCAGAGGTTAATAAAAAAATAAATAAATAAAAAAGAGAGATTCTTGTTTGGCGAACTTCATATCCCATGATGCACCTGTCACAGTACGGTTAGTTTTGTTTCCGGGTCACGCAGAGCAACGTTGGAGGCACATTTCAACTAAATAAAATACATGTTACTTTTTTGTTGTTTGTTTTTCATCTTTTCGTCCGAGGCGGATGTTATATTTTTCAGGCATGCGACCAGTATAACCGCAGGTTGGTGCAGTTCTTTACATCATTTAATTTCACAACTTAAAGCAAAGATTCTCCTGTAAAGTTGGCGAAGTAGACGTTTCGTGTTGTATATAGATCATGTTTTTGAATTGTTGAGGTATGTCGTTGTTATCTGCTACTTAATCTAGTTAAAATTATTCCCATACACATGGCGTCATTACACAAGGTCTAGGATTAGGGTAATTTAAGGGATTTTTATATTTCTGTATTTCATTTTCCCGTTATTTACATGTTTTTAATTACATTCCTCCTTCCAACAGGTTTCCCTGTTCACTAAATGGCTAAAGCATAATTATAGAGTCAAGTGTTGAAATCAGCATGAAATTCTGTCAAATTTGGCAAAACAAAGCACCAGACGAGTGTAATGAAGAGGGCTAGAGCAAACTAAAACAGTCAGATTTTATTAATATATGGTAATTATTAAAGATAATCACCTGGTGACCAAGGGTCTATGATTTTAGCCTGACTGGTAACAGGAAGACTGAAAACTTAAAAATGTGGTTTTCTAAATGCATACATTTACATTTATGCATTTCAAGTCTGTATAGTATTTTTAATAAAGTGGAATAACCAAAACATAGTCTGAAGCGACTGAAAATAAAACAGTATTTTATTGTAGTTTACCAAGTGTTCATTCAGTTTTGGAAGTGAAATCAAGACTAGCAGCAGATAATAGGAAGGCTGAAGGGAGAACATTAACTTCTTTTGATATTTTGGTCTCTGTTGACTATGAAAATGCTGGTTTAACAAACATTGGCAGTTATTTTGTAATCCTGTTGAGGGTTTATATGCAGTCAAATATTCACTCAGAGAAAGCTTTCTTTGTGATGCCAACCACACTGAACATGCTAATTGCTAATTGAACGCAAAGAAAAACCTAGAAAGGGCTAGAAAAACCCTTTGTGTTTCTTATATCTGCTTTCTTTAATTTAAAAGTTTTTATGTAAATGTAAATCCCTTTATTATCCCACAATGGGGAAATTCACTCTCTGCAGTTAACCCATCCCCTGGGGGAGCAGTGGGCTGCCATTGTGTGGCACCCGGGGAACAGTGTGGGGTTAAGGGTTTTTGCTCAGTAACCCAGAGTGCAGGTTGTGGGGATTGAACCAGGTACTTGCAACCTTTTCAGAGCACAATGCACTGCTCTAACCACTAGGCCAACACTCCCCAAAATTGAGAGGCAGTCAAAGCTTAAGCTAAACCACAAATTGAAAAACTGGTCACCAAATTCTAATCTGTGCAACTCTAATATTTAGTAAGATTTCCACCCAGGTTACTATAAAAACACATGACCTGCTTGATGTTTTCCATTAAGAGAATTGGCTCCAACATTTATTCTACTATTAATTCAATTCAATTGTCAATTCAATTCAGTTCATATAGTGCCAATTCACAACACGTCATCTCAAGACACTTTACAGTTCAACCAGATCATACAGTCAAGTTGATACAAAGTTTTCTATCTAAGGAAAACCAATTGATTGCATCGCGATCCCTCACAATAAGCAAGCTTGAAGCGACAGTGGAGAGGAAAAACTCCCTTTCAACAGGAAGAAACCTCCAGCAGAACCNCGAAACACGCCCCATAATCACAGCTCTATGGAGCAGTATCAGACTCATATTCTGACTAGAATTGAGTCGGACTACGTCAGGCTAGATCGAACCAGGTACTTGCAACCTTTTCAGAACACAACGCACTGCTCTAACCACTAGGCGAACACTCCTCAAAATTGGGAGGCAGTCAAACCTTTACTAAACCACAAACTGAAAAACTGGTCACCAAATTCTAATCTGTGCAACTAATATTTAGCAATGATTTCCACCCAAGTTACTATAAAAACACACAGCCTGCTTGATGTTTTTCATTAAGAGAATTTGCTCCAACATTTATTCTACTAATAATTCAATTCAATTCAGTTTATTTATATGGCGCCAATTCACAATCTTAAGGCACTTTACAGTTCAACCAGATCATACAGTCAAATTGATGCAAAGTTTTCTATCTAAGGAAAACCAGCTGATTGCATCAACTCATTGACTCTGATGCAATCCCTCACACTAAGCATGCTTGTAGCAACAGTAGAGAGGAAAAACTCCCTTTCAACAGGAAGAAACCTCCAGCAGAACCAGGCTCAGTGTGAGCGGTCTTCTGCCGAGGTCGACTGGGGCTCAAGCAGACAGAAGCAGAGATACAAAAAGCAGCTGTAAAAGGCGGCCCCGTCCAGGAAACACACAGCCAGGCAATTAATCCCACTATGCATCCCCCTGAAGTACAGGCTATATTATCATGTTGGTAAAACTATTCCCATTTAGAGACTCACAAAAATCAAGCTCACGCATCAAAAACAGTGAATCACTCTAACATTCATTCAACATTTCTTTTCAGTAGTGCTGCTAAACACTGACTGCATCCAATCAAAATTTGGAACATAATCAGTGGAAACCAACTCTGTCCATTTCCTTTGTCTTTCAAACATAATCAGATAGATCTTCCCATGGTTTTCACAGGATGTTGTTATTCTTGTCATAACTTCTTTTAGTGATAAGACATATGGTCACTTGGCAGTACAGCTATACTGTTTAATAATCTAACAATTATTATGCAGTATTTGCACATTTTCTGGATGGCTCATCTGTACCAAAGGTGGAAAATAATATTGTTATACCAAGATATAATAATTCTAACAGAAGTGTAAAAAGATTGGCATCAGTTAAGTTAATGAGGAAGATCATCGACAACGTCACCGTTCATTTTTCCATACATTGGTGTCCTTTATGCATTGAAGGTTATTGTAGTCATCTGTCACTCTGGCACAAAAGGCATTCTTGCAACTCAAATCAAATGCTATATTTGGATTTATATTATGTGGTTTAAACCTCATCTACGCTTTCTCGTCACTATGAACAACAATAGAGATGAAAAATTTATCAGATCAATCATTATTGATCAATTATTGTAATAATTTTCAACTCATTTAGCAATCAAATAATCGTTAACTGGAGTATAGAGACTGTAAACTGGGTCTTTAGCTGACAGGACCACCCTGTTAGAGCAGTAATTATATCAAATTTGTGAGAAAAAAAAAAAAAATATATATATATATATATATAAACATTTTGTATTTAAGATTAAAAAAATCTTTTCCTCTGCCAATATGCCCTATCCAGAACTTCTCAACTGGAAAAGTTTTAGTTTCGCCTGGTTTCATTTTGTAAAAAATCTTCTTTAAGGAACCTTTGGCTATCCGATTATCAATAAAAATAAAATCAACAGATTTGCAAAATAATCGTTAGTTGCAACCCTAAACTACACCCTTATAAGATGTTCTTTAAACATTCAAAACATTTATCTGCTATGTATTTGCTGCACATTCTCCATACTCAAGGTTTCAGATCTGCTGCTTATTTTTATTTTTTCTTCCCTGTCCAATTTTAAATATGCCTTATATAAAGAAAGGACTAAGATATTTTTGTCTAAAACTTACAAACTACTTTCTCCATCTCTTAAAAAAAAGTAGCTGGTGCAGTGACCCACTCAAAGCATTGTTAATACCCTGGGCTCCTAACTGTATGTTGTTAAGGTCATCCGGCGTAAGCAGCTGTAGGTGTTCGTCACGACAGCCTCAGCTCAGGCAGAGGGGGATTAAAGCGTGTACTTGGGAGGAGACACAGGAGAGGCTTTTGCTGTTCTTAATCTGCACAGGTAGCAATAGCTACCCTTTTGCAAGACCACCTCAAGTAGGTCTCTCTCATTATTAATTATTCTTTGAGTTATATAAATATTTGTTCTCCTTTTGTTTTTCTTTTTTTAAGCTTCTTGGTTCTTTCGTGATGGATCTTGGAAAGGCAAAGCTGCTTAGAAGTGGACTCAACACTCTACACCAAGCCATCCACCCTATACATGGGATTGCGTGGACAGATGGAAAGCAAGTCTGCCTGACGGCTCTCTACTTCCTCAACGGCGAGGTGAAGTTTGGAGACACCAATGTAATCGGGCAGTTTGAGCATGTCTTTGGACTCTTCTGGGGCCCGCTGTGCTGCTCGGACTCTCCTGCTCTCTTGGCTGTCCAGCATAAGAAGCACGTTACGGTGTGGCAGCTTCAGCTCAGTGCCCTTGAGCAGAACAAGCTGCTGTGCACACAGACCTGTGAGATGAGCGAGCCCTTCCCTTTGCTTTCCCAAGGCTGTGTCTGGCATCCTAAGCTGGACATGCTGGCCGTGCTGACAAAGCGAGACACATCAGTATTATTTTCCGTCAGGGTGGACAACAGGAGAATCAAAGCAGACATCAAAGGTAGCGGACTCATTCATTGCGCCTGTTGGACTAAGGATGGCACGCGCCTGGTGGTGGCTATAGGAAGCGCTCTTCATTCTTTTATTTGGAATGACATTCAGAAAAGTCTGGTGGCATGCAGCTTTTGCCCCATCTTTGACGTAGGGGGGTACATCTGTGCAATTGAGGCCACAGGAGAAGCTCAAGTAGCCGTGGCCACAGAGCTACCACTTGATAAATTATGTGGGTTAAACTCCGGCATCGCTTTTGACCTGCCAAACGAGACTGAATCCCTCCACAGCCAGGGCTCACACGTGGTTATGTCAGAGGATGATAGCGTTCTGGATTCAAGGAGGAGGTCATTTGAGTCAGAGAGATCATACATCCCCAGCTCAGGCCCCCTTGATCTTACCCATCTCTTAGCGAGGCACCGTCGCTCAGACCCCAGCCCTCTTATCCACTTGCGGCGCAGAGACACTATGACGGGTTCGGGACAGGACAGCTCACACCTCGTTCTGGTTACATATGAGCGGAAGGTAACTACCAGCAGGAAGGTCAGCATTCCAGGAATTTTGGTACCGGATATTGTTTCCTTTGATCATCGTGCCTCCACAGTTGCAGTCGCTTCCAATACCTGCAACATGGTTCTGGTGTACTGTATCACAGCCTCTGCTATGCCCAACATCCAGCAGATTTCTCTCCAGCCGAATGAAAGACCCAAAGGTGTCTGCTTCCTGAGTGACAAAGTGCTGCTGTTGATGGTGGGCCGGCAGAAGTCTGTTGACCCTGCTTTTCTTCCGTCTTCCAACACGGACAAATATATTCTTCGCCTCATAGCTAAAGAGCTGATATACGATGGAGGAACAGCTATCGCACCATCCCCCTCAGCTATCAACCATGAGTCTTCTAATTTCTGCGCAGGGATTAGGAGGCACTCAGAGCACCTGTCAAAGGATGATAGGGAGCGCCCAGGGATAAAAGATTTGGTGCTGCCTGGAAGAGGGGTAATTTGCTCACCAGGGAACAGACGGAGGCTGGTGGAAGAGGTCAGGAGCAACGAACAAAGCCCCATCACCAGCTCGGTGGACTTCTCTGAGCGCCCTGAAAGAGCCTCTTCCAGAAACTCTTCCATTGCAGCGGAGAACTTTGACATGGACCACGTCAGTCGGATGGCCAGCCTGGCAGTAGGAGGCCAGGCCAGCAGAGACTCCAGCCGGTCCAGTTCCCCTCGCTTCGAGCAATCAGAGAAGATCCACTCAGAGCCACCGACCCTGCCTATGCCTGAGAAAACATCCGGACAGACAAGGGAGCACTCCCTGGAGCAGCTGGTTCACAACATGGAAAAACTTTTTACACGTTTCGGAGATGTGCAGCGGTGCCTGACGGAAATCGGGGATTATACACAGAACGGCAAGAAGGCCCAAACAGCCTATCCCAACGCAGCCGATCCACCTTATATCAATGTGACATGCCAGGTAATGTGGTAGTAAGTCATTTCCACTTCATGCCATTTCTTAGACTATAATCGATATGGTACTCCTGCTGTCCTGTAATTACAACTTTATATCAACGTACTGATTACATTTTCACTCAAGAGATGCTTCTGATTTTCACTTCATGTTGCTCTTTGCTCGTATGTAGAAGCAGTTGTCAGAGAATGTGTTCATTGATGAGAGGAGGCCAGTGCTCCTGTGTGAAGGAAAGCTGTGTCTACGAGTCGTACAAGACCTTTTCAACCTTACAATAGTGGAGATGATGTACGGTAAGTGGAGAAAAGCAGATCTATCATTAAAGAAGGACACAAAAAGCAGAAAATATAACAATTCGTTGGCTATAATTCTCTGTGTCAATTTCTTAGGTTAATATTTTTTGTATTTTTATGTTCAAAACAAAAATTGCCTTTATCTTCAAAGCCCTCTGTGTCTCATAGCACATAAGATTAATGGTTTTGTGATGGAGAGTACAGGGTTAATCGGTGGATACCACCAGGAGATCTTCTTAGGTCCCTCCATTTGTAGATTTGGAAATCTCATGATCCTCCCCCACTCTGATGAGGGGCCGTCAGTGTGTTTGTTTCAGGGTCGACTCTCTCTTCACTGATCTTCACTTTGCTACAACCATTGGAAATATTTTATTTTTAAAAATTGCCTTTTCTTACCTAGCCGACATGGTCTGAAATAGTTCCTCTGTTTACTTGCCTCAGCTATTATTAGAACTGATTAGGTGCATAGATCAGATTATGAGGTTTAAAACAAAAGCAGCTTATCATTCCTTGTTTGTTTTCTTCTACAAACAAAGCAATCAACTCGAGAGTATTTGAATGCCCCCAAAGGACAGCTAGTGGTTGTTGTTTGACTTATATTCATCTTTGTTCAAAATAAAAGTTGCATGTAAGAAATATAAAGCAAAACATTCCTATAATGGTTTTTAATTCTATGAACACTAATGAATTGAACATCACACATATTCTAAGTCAAAACAGGAAGACTTCCATGGGTTAGTCATCATTAAAGAAAATGTGAATAAGAAATAGGGCTGGGCAATTAATTGCAATATAACTGCAATTTAACAAAATGCATTTTCAAATCCCAGAGGCACTAAAATTTAGACACATTACATTTAACAAGAGTAATACACTACATGTCTTACTGTAGCCCTGTAGGTGGTAGTAATATATTTAAAGTATGCTGCCACACAGGAAAGTTCAGAGTTACAGCTAGAACACCGATCCATGCTTGTAAGTAGAAGTCATAGTTTTCCACACAAAGCTTACAGTATAAAGTCCTGAAACAAGACTTAGACTCAGACTAGGCAACATTCATTGTCATTTTTGTATAAAACGAAATTTCGGCAATTTTGATTATCAGCAAAATTGTTCCGCCCTAATAATGAATAGACTTTTCATAAAGTCAATGCCAGTGTCTCTCTTTACAAGCTCAAGTATACTAGAACCTGGAAAAATGTTCAAGAACTCATAATAATTTATAAAAAATAAAAAAAAGCCATTTTTGGATCTATTTCAGTTGGTGGGGATCGACTTTTGGTCTAAGACTTCCCTCCCTCAGAAACTGCCTGCTAGAGCTCACACCACCGCTTCTAGAACATGCTCAATAACACTGATCTTGCATGGTCTGGAACCAAGATGCAAGTCGCTTACTGGCATGTTTGGGGTTGTTTAGTTGAAAGATGCGCTTAAAGGGCAATTGCACAATGCAGAGATCCATGTAGGTATTAAAGCCCAACTACAGCATGGTACCTGATCCACTGTGATTCGCTGGCTGCTTATTCAGACAATTATTGAACCCACTAATCAAAATCCACACTGAACATGAGCATTTAAATAAAAATTTCTACCCAAAAACAATAAATGTTCTGGTCAGTCATAATATTTTGCAAAGATTTTTACTGCAGATAAATACAGTAGCTGCTGAAATACACCAAGCTAAGGCAGAGACACAAACTTGACTCACAATTCGTAAGTACCAGAATTGGATACCTAGAACTAAACGTCAATTCCATACCCATCCCAAATACTTTCTCTGATAGCTTGGATTATGAGTAAAGATGGCTGTGAAGAAAAAGATAGGTTCTAAATTGCTGAGGTAGCATTAAGTCAGATGCCTAGAGCGGAAGCCCTAGTGAAGGGGATAGGTATGGTCAATCAGGATGGAAGTAGCCTTCCTCATGAATAAACTACTGACCAAAACAAAGTATAGGTGTCAACCTTGAGGTCCGGTGAATCAGTCATCCTGCTAAACATGTTTCCCATCCTGCTGAATCCGGCTTATCCAACAAAACACACTGCTTTGATTATTCTGTGCTTATTACCGTTGGCTTCATCGACACCATTCCCCTTGATAGCAGTGTTCTGAGAGAGGATCATTGTCTACGGTCAATTTGAAAACATGGTTTGTCTAAGAAACTCTTTGGTGTAGAAAGGTTTCTCACAGCAGTTAAGACTGAACATCATAAAGTTATAAGCAAAGATTAAAACAACCCAACCTTCAATTCTGCTCTGGTATTCCACATGGTAAAAATGTTAGATAAAATTCCTAATAGGATTATTATTCTGCGTTTTGGCAACTGCACTATAGTCATTCAGCATCTTCCACTTGTGTTCAGTACCTCTTGCTGTTGAACTAGACATAAAAACGAAGAACGAAATGGTAGCTTCTCTAAGCTGGGGTATAACTAATTATTCCTGCCCTTAACTACTAAATGGATCCTTTTTTTCTTTCCCAGGACCATTGTGGATCGTGCTTGTGGCGGATTCTGATGGCTTTGTGCCTCTGACGTTCAAGCCCAAAGATGAACTGACCGTGCGGAATGGGAAGAGGAAATCGAATCTGCGGACTCCCGCAAGTCCGGAAAATTCCTGCCCATCCAGTCCAGCCCCCATCCAAAGCCCTACGACAACAGCAGAGGCCAACACATACTAGTTCCTGACAGACTGTGCAGGTTCACACAGGAGCGTTTCATTTTGACTTTCCTATTTACAATCTCAATGCCACAGAAAACCACTGTTCATACTTTACCTGTCCTTTCAGATGGTATATTTATATGCTGCTTCAGTAAAATGAGATTACTCTTATACATTTTTTATTTATTTTTTTGAGAAAATGTGACACACTTGTTCTAGTCTACCTCAATAGAAAACAGTTCAAGGGTATACTGTAAACTTAAAATTTTTCCCCTGCTAGTATTGACATATTTTCCCAAGGGATTTTTAATCGGTATAAAATAGTTTCCACCAAATGTCTGAATTATTACTTTCATACTCTATAGTCTATAGGATGAAGTAACACATCTGGCCACTAGATGGTGCTACACCCCATGAATCATCATAACAGTACATTTTCTGCCTAAAAAAAGTGAGAAATTTACCATTAAATTAGTAATACAAATGTGATACTTACAATTGTTCCAAAAATATATTCATCCAATCTTAAATGTGCAAGAGAAATAGAAATACTAAACTGTATGTATAAAACTAAGTAGATGTAATTCACATCTAATTTGAAGTAGAATTTAAGCAATTTTAAGAAATGATTGAAATGATGCTCTGAGTTAACCTTAGACTTGAAAGAGAGTATACTTATTTTTAATCAATTGTAAATGTTATTTATGATTATTAACAAATATACATATTGTTTTTCCTCCTGCAACACCTCCACTCTAAAGAAACACAAAAGCCGCAGATGTCCTTGGTCCTATTCCGTCTCTACGGCGTTTATTCATCTCATGTCGTCAAATCTTTTTTTGCAGTTTGTATCATAAATAAATAACAGCCTAGAGTTAAATACAGCAAATCATATACATTCATTTATATAAATTATATGTTTATATATATATTCAAGATGACTGTACAGTACATGTGGCAATAAAACACAAATGTTTACATTAAAACCATTTCCCTGTTTGACAGTGTAATATACACCAAAGAGCAACCTTCCAGCCTCATGACTGGAATCCGTGGCTTTGTGAATTCACTCCAACATCCCGTTCATGCGTTACTCAAATCTTCCATAGATGTGGAGCCAATGCTTTCCTTCCTGCGAGAGACATCAGTATCAGTGAGCTGCTACATTCATAGCATGGGTAGAAAGTAAAAATACAGGTTTTCTGAACTTTTTTTTAGTATACAAGAGGTAAAATGTTTTCATATTATTAGACTCGGTTGTTTGGCCACAGCTTACAACATACATGTGCAAGAAATCGAGCAGTTGGATACAAATCCTGCAATCGTTGATATTTGTTCATGACATGTTTAGATACGAGACAGGAGGCAGGAAGATTCATTTGTCGGAAAACGAAGAACAAATCCTTTTCCAAAGCGCTCACAATCTCTGCTAAGTAAAGATTTACATTCAGCTAAGACAATATGATCAGACGCTAACTGATTGAGGGATATCTGGGTAAACCAAAATGGGCAGTGCAGTTCTGCTCTTATTTGCTCTAAGGACCAGTGGTGCCACAATTCAACAAAAATAGATTCATTCTGACATGATTTTCTGTGATGAATGCGAAATGGGGAATCTCAAAAAGTTCTAATCTATTCATATCTAGCTCAGTCAGTGAGGTAAAGTTTACTGATCTAAAAGCAATCAGTTGCTAGGTAGAATTGCTTATCAGCTTTTTTTGTAGCTTTCACCATTAATTATTTCCCATGAGTCTTTGTGGCTGGAAAACCTCCTTGCCATCACCCTAATCTTTACCTTCCCTCCTCTGATACTCTGAATCCCTGGATCCAAACTTTGACTTTGCAACTTCAAAACGTAGTAAAAAAAAAGAATAAAAAAAAAAGGAGTCTCTCTAAAGGCAAGTATTTTACTGACAATAACATTACATTGCAATTTAGTTTGGTTTAGTCTGGTTTGAATGAACAATTTACACTTTGATGGTTTAAATTACAACCTTTATAAATTCAGGACAATTTTTTATAAATATTAAAATATTTTATGATTTTATTTTATTTAAGCTATTACGTATAAAGTATTTGTTGAATTGTGGCACTTTTGGTCCTCTGTAATTAGCGGAGCTCTTTGGTGATTAGAGAAATAACTGATCATCTATCAGCAAAATAAGCTGGTCAGATACTTTCACAAAAAGTATGTTTCTTAATGAACATACAAAAAGGTTCCTGCAAGTTGCTCTGATTCATTCTTGCAAGGTTTTGTGAGCAGGTTGATGAAGAAATGAATACCAAGAAGAAGGGCACATAAATCTTAAATATTTCATCTAACTAATCGTGTCAAGATGCTGAATCTTTAAGATACTTGTACTCCACCTGAGTATTTACATTGGCCGTTCACTCTCATACTGCTACCACACAACAGCAGCATTTCCCCTTCCCACCGGTTTTTACAGAAAGTCTTTCACAACAGTTTGTTGCTGTTCGCAGGGTTGAAAGGTGGGACAGAGTTGAAGGATTAGAGTTTTTCCCGCAGTTGTGCATTAATGATTTCTACACACCGTAGCTCCTCCAGACAGAGTTTATTCCTGCGCCGTACGTCTTCGTTGATGGGATACAAGACCAGGATCATTAACCCTGTGACGATGAAGGCTATGGGTGCGGCGCCGATCAGCAGCTTCAGGGTGTACACCACAGGAGGGGGCTGCTTGCAGCCGCCGCTTTTGTACCCAGCAAACCTACAAAGATGCACAGGATCTATTAAAATCCAGAACATAAAAAGCAACAACTAGCCTGATACCGTAAATCTAGTTTGTCCAGAAACAAAAATGATTGTAATATGGTTCCAGCAACAAATCAAAATGCAGAAATCTGGTCTCCAAGTTTAGCTACAATGTTCTGGGAATCATTTTCTGCAGCAGGAGCCTCAATTTAAAGAAGGGTGCAAATCAGTTAGTGCCCATTTTTTAACAAGGGAACATCATGGGCAGCTTGCCTATTGATATAATAATAAATAGCACAGCCCAATGACTTTTACCCGGAGGCAGATTTGAACATACCTTACCCATGTCCAAATAAAAAGTGTCCCATATTCTGTTATTACTAAAAAAAATTAATGAATATTTTATTGACCAAGAAAAGAGAAAAGCGGCCATAGATTTCAGGACAATTTATGATTATGGCCAATGTGCAGAGTTTGGACCAGCAATGCTATGCAATAAAGGTACAGTTTAATCTTTTTAACTGTGTGCTGTGAGGACATTTCTCCCTTTCTATTTCTAAAACTATAAGAGATCTTTGACCATAACTCTCCTTCACGTTTGCATAAAAATAAACGTGGAACTTTTTTGGTGGAGAGTGATGATATACACTTGTGCTTTAAAATAAAAAAAACAAGTGTTGTCACGTAAGAATCAGAAAGTCAAACATAAACGTATTCTCCAAATGATTCTAGTTTCTTTAAAGGAAACCAAATCTGCAGCTGTATTGACTGACAGAATCTGTAAATATACAACTAAATAACAGTTGTCGATACCTGAGGCTGATAAAGATTCTTAACCTTTTAAAAGCCGATTCTAAACAAATTAAGCTTCTTTAAATTTCTGATAATGATCAATAGACACAATTATTTTAAGCCTTAAGTATTTAATGAGGTTTAGTAAGCTGCTGAAAATTTGGACGCATTTAATTTTTTCCCCCTTTTACATATTAGCTTTAGTCAAGTACCGATTAGGATGTAAAATTAAGTTTCCCCCTTGCTATGGAGGCTTAGGAAAGAGCGGATCAAATTTCCCTATATCCTGAACTGTAACGGTGCTACAGATGTACTGTTTGCATTTCTGTATGTCGGATAGTAATGGAGACTCACTCCAGGCAGAGGGTGGACACTCCCAGGGTGATGCCGACGGCAAGCTTGATAAAGAAAACGTAGAATGAGTAGAAGATGGCTTCATGGCCTTTAAAGAAGGGGTTGAGCAGTCTGAAGTCATCTACCACATCTGGTAACATAGACCTGAAACACATGCACACAATAATAAACACACAGCTCTGACGGGAGTTATATGATTGACTTTGGGAGCATCCCTTAAAATGTCAAAAACTCATACATTTGGCAACACTTTCAGATGATGCTTTTACCTTATTTCCTTACAAAACCACTAAAGATGTTAGAAAATGGTTAATGTCATGCCAACTTCAGGATCCCCCATATAGTGGTTCCTAAAACTACAGAGCTAATAACATGATCAGATGATGAGCAGCGGGCGGAATCAGAGGACCACAGGCAGAAAAACATTTGGCCTCTTCCAAAGTAAACATGCCCCCCCCATGGGAGGCTATAATTTCAGATAAAAGGGAGGAGGAGGAGAGCGACGGGTGCTGAGCGGTGACAGCCATAGAACCGTCTGGGAGGCAGATGTAAGGATACCTCCGGAGTTGTGTCTTGTGGGAGCACTGAGATGGACTGAAAGATTTACAACAGACTCTATCTCCTTCATTCAACCGGACGGAGCCGTTTGGAGGTAATGCTAATGACTTTTTGGGGTAAAAAGATGGATAAAAAGCTTGAATTAAATTAAAAGATCTTTACAGAGACAGAAGCAGTTGGCAGCAATGAAGCCATAGCAGGGTGTGCTGAAACAAAAGGGTCTCTGGTTGTAAACCCAGCTTCTTTGACAAAATAGCTAACCATATTTTCTTGCATCTCACGATATGAATGAAATTCACAGTGAAGTAGAGACTGTCTTCGCTGCTGCAGCTTCCTGCCTGCCTTGTTCATTTTAGCTGCTATACAGATAGACCTCAGTTTAAGACAAATATAACTTTTACTTATGACTTTTAAACTAAAAGTGAAATATATGTTTTTTTACTGAAATGCTTTAAAATAAGTCATGATACAAATTATGAATGAGCTATATCAACGAATGTTAATGGGTTGGCATTAACCTAGCATTATTGCTCACTGTTCCACATTGACAAATCAAAAACAAGACATGAGTGTAAGGAAGACTCTGCTTCTATGTGTGGAATTAGCTATAAAGATAAAAAAAAATGGCTTTTATTCTTTCTCTGTTCGATTTTAAATCTGAAGAAACTTTTTTTGGTTTTAGGTTGAATTTGTTCTAATTGATAAATACCAGGAAAATGACCAAATATATTTCTAAAAACTTC